ACGGTCTTAAATTAACCATAACTCTGAAAACACTGACCTTACTGAAGCAGTGAGTGTAGTAGCACTGTAGCAGCACCATAGCTGCCACCATCATCATCACTGTAGCTAAGATTACACATGATAAAAGTAACCCAGACATTTTTACTGTCACGTCCAAGTGTCTGAGATGTATCACAAGATGTATCAGTATTACAATGGTTGCTCTTTGAGTGATCCCATGATCTGTTGATCTTAACATCTCACCTGATGTTGAGTCAGTAGTAATGGTGGTGGTGGTAGTAGTAGTAGTAGTAGTAGTAGTAGTAGTAGTAGTATCAGCAGCTGTAGCTCCAGTATTGGTATACATGAACAAATATAATCTATATTAATGCCCAGTTTGATTATGTAAAATGGGATATGATTAAATTTACTGACAACAGAAATAGAACGAATAATAAATCAAATTCAGAGGAAGATGCCATAGAAAGTCAGGTTGATTTAGACAAATGATTTAGTCAAATACAGAGGCAGCAGGTGTGGTAGGGAAGTAAAGAAGATGTGTAGATGAATGGTTCAGAGAACCGACACGTGGATGTAATCAGTCGATTAACCTTGGTTGGTGGTCAGTCCCTCAGCCTGAAGAAACCTACTGGGTAGCGAAACGTTTCAGTCAACAAAAAATATGCCTAACAGTTGGTATAAACCTTGGTAATAAATACCGACAAGTTGGTTTAGAAAGACACGTGAGCAAACACTATAACACATTTATTAGAAAACGTTTCGGTCCTGGGACCTAACAGTTGTACATGTGTCTTACTCTTCAAATTGTTGCTATTATATACTATTTTAAACATGCTTGTGTGACACAATGGTATCTTGGTACCCACCACTTCATCGCTTAACTACTAGTTATGAGTGAGAAAGGGTAGATGTGGTGAATGGTTATGAAATAGGATAGGAAAGGATAGAACCCAGAGGAAGTTGCTTAGTATGGACCAGTAGACCTCTGCAGTGCTCCTCACCTTCTTACTAATGACCTTCGCCTCCTGCTAAGTCATAGACCTTCTCTCCTCATTTTCAGCAGTATTTAAGACTTCATTCTTATGTGTGGAAAATACTGTATATTTTCCGGAAATACGGTAATTTATAGGTAAATAGATGCCCTATATTGTATTTAATAAAAGTGTATTTTTAAAAGATGGTCAGTCGCCATTTTGTTTGAATTTGGATTAGAAACGTTGGTGTAATGGGAAGAATTTTTCGTGCTCTAGAGGTTAAAATTAGGCTGACACCTCTCAAAAAGGAGACAAAATTGTTGGATGTGCATTCCTGCATAACTTGATTATTATTATAATCAAGGGGGAAGCGCTAAACCCGGAGGATTATACAGCGCCTGGGGGGGGGATGTGGAAGGCATTCAGGCTTAATTCGGGGAACTGGAGCACAGATCCAATTCCCTAAATCAAGAGCCCCTCACCAACATCAAGGAACCTTCCTTGAGGGGTGCATAACTTGAGATATCAGGCGACTGGACAAGACAGCTCCAGGAACCTCAGATAAGTCTTATGTAGTAACCTGGCCAGTGTTATTTTCATAGTGAGGTTTTCTGAGTATGATACACATTAATCTCCAGTCAAATTGGTGAGTGTTATGATTAAGATATATTCTTTTGTTATTTAAATGTGTGTATATACTATAATCCTTTTTTAATTTTAATATACAGTCCACAAATTTATATATTTACCAGCATTCCTGGTGATGTATATTTCATTTAATTAATAGGTCCAGAGCAACTTGTGGTTATGGCCTGTACATTGCAGAGTCACTTGTTTGCACAGAACTGCTTAATGCCTCAAATGATGTAGTGGAAATTTTAGCAGTAAAGGTCGAGAACCAAAACCTAGTCATTGTGGTAGTCTACAAGCTTCCGGATGCAACATCCCAGCAATTCCAGGAACAGCTGTTAAAAATTGACCACTGTCTGGAAAATCTTCCAGCTCCTGCACCCAACATCTTGCTCCTGGGGGATTTCAACTTAAGGCACCTAAAATGGAGGAATATAGCAAATAAAAATTGTTGCAGTAATAACACCAGGAGGCAGCTCTGATGAAAACTCACACTCACACGAGCTTTTAAATCTCTGCACAAAATTTAATTTAAACCAGCAAATAATAGAGCCTACTAGACTGGAGAATACACTAGACCTCATCTTCACTAACAATGATGATCTATAAGAAATGTCACCATATCAAAAACAATATACTCAGATCACAACATAATTGAGGTTCAGACATGAAATGCATGGAGCCCCAGACCGACATAATGAGACTAGTCACGAGGGA